AGGGTGCCCCGGTGCTGTGGTGCTTGAGTGCCCTGTGCGCCTGCAGTTCTTGCAACTCTACGGTTGCACCAATGCTCAGCTGCCGACATTCGAGCACGCCCATGTGGTGGACATTGACATGGAGCTTGGTGTGGAGGCACTGCGCGATTTGGGCTCTCGCGTCGACAAGCTTGTGCTTCGCGATGACGCTGCAAAGCTTGTGTCGCAGCTCGGCACAATTCCCGTGTGTGTGGAGGTGCATGGATCAGCGGAAGACATTGGTCTCGCGGACGGCGTGCTTCCCGCGTGTGTGCGGCGTGCAGTGTTGACTGTCCACACGAATGCCTTTCATGTTGGCTTGCTTGCACATGTGCAGCAACTGACACTGCAGGCAGGCGAAGGCAGCCGACCAGCCATTCAGGGCTTGGATGAGCTGCGCAATCTGAAGGCGTTGCGCATCGTCGGGTGTGAGCTGAGCGGCACAGTCAGCGCAAGCGAGCAAGTGTGTTTCACCGATTGCTCTGGCTCCATCACGGTTGAGAATGCCGGTACCCTTTACATCACTGACAAGAGAGATGCAACGGAGAAACGAGAGAGTGACGCCACACTGATGCAGGTGCTTTCAACACGCAATGTGCATGTATGCCGCATTGTCGACTGTGAGCTTGAAACGCTGTGCGGTTTTGCAGGCGTGCACTGCCTTGTTCTTCAGTGTTGTACTGTGGCCGACGCTGAAACGCTCCCGCAGGTAGCCTGCCTCTGCCTGCGAGGCCGCTGTTACAGGCAGCCCATCGTCTCCCTTGTCGGCCGGGCACGGGAGGACATGATTGCCGTTATCAATAGCGGGCAGACTGACGTGTCAGAGGACCTCCAGCTGCTCCAAGACGACAAGGATATTAACGATGATGACATCCTACAGGACTTTGAAGATGAAGACGACGACGACGACGACAGTGATGATGATGATGATGATGATGATGATGATGATTGATGAAGGAGGTGGATAGCGTGTGCTTCTGTGCGTTCGTTTTGGGGTGGTTGTTTTCCCCCTCGCGCACCCGTGCCCATCTCATAGACTGACCGTTGCATTGCACTCTTTGTTTTGGTGGATATTTGTTGACCTTGTTTCTCTCGCGCTCGGGTGCATGTGAGGCAGCAAGCCTGCTTGGATTGCCCCCTTCCTTGCATTCATTGCTGTAGTGTTGTGACGTTGTCTTTGACACACTTTCTTGTTCGAATTGCGCTTGTTTGTTGTTCCTCCCGTTGGCTTGCGATTTGCGTCACACGAGGCAGTCAAACGAGAAAAACCGCGGGTCGAGTGGCTGTGTGTGTTCATGTACATGTGTGCGCATGTGTGTTTGTGTGTGTATGTGTATGTGTGCTTGTGTGTGGACATGTGCGCCAGACAAGCAAACAGACACTCTTTCCTCCCCCACGCTGCCATACGATACCCCGAATTTCCTCCAAGTAAACGAATGCACTTTGTCAGCGAGCAAAACCGTTTTCCACGCTCTCCTCTTCGTTCATCTTTCAGCATTCAAACTCTCCACCAACCAAACCCACCTGCCCTGATCACAGTCAGAGTCGCAACAGGCACAGTCGCAACCAGTCGCACAGTCGCAACCAGTCACATCATCACGTTGTCACCTCCTCTCCTCCTCCTCCTAACTTCCTCACTTCCCTGACTTCCTTTTGCTTCCTTGTTTGGGTTACCAAAAGGCGAGGACACTGCCAAGCACGCAAGCAAGCCCTTTTGGCGTCCCCTGTACCCCTCCTTTCTCCCTTGCCCTCCAGCCAGAAATGTTCAGGCTGCGCCGGAAGAAGAAGAGCAGCGGCACCATCCTGTGCTGCGTGCATCTTCCCAATGATAGCTCCATCAACCTCGCCATCGACGTGCGTTCTCTATTGCTACATGTTTGGTGCCGTGATCCCGCCTGCATGGTTTGGATTTGCTTGCATGCATATGTATCGCGGCGTGGGGAAGCACCGAGCGAAAGAGGGGGAACGGGGACGTGTGACTGTGTGACTGTGTGTGCATGTGTGTGTGTGACTGTGTGTGTGTGTGTGCATGTGTGTATGTGTGTATGTGTGTGGTATTTGATGGCAAAGTCATCGTTTGTGACGTGATTTGAACACGCGAACTGTAACGCTTCTCGGAGATGACACCATACCATTCCTTGTCCTTGTACAGGAGAAGGCACGTGGATTGGATCTCTGGCGAGACGTGATGGCTTCGCTCTCTCTGCCAGAGCAAGACTTTTTTGGACTCAAGTACGCCGCCCCCGACAAGGTTTGGCCCAAATACCACACGTTGCGGCACAAACCATTGACAATCCCACACAGTCCACCGGCCTCCTTGCATTTTGCACGCACTGGACAGCAAACTGTGTTGTGCGAAGCACACAAATACACACACACACACGCACGCACGAAGGAACACACACTGACACACAAACACGCAAGGAACACACACACTGAAACACAAACACACGCACACACACACACACACACAAAGGGACACACACGCCTACGCAAATACTCACACACACACACACACACACACACACACACATACACACACACACACATACACACACACACACACCCTACATTCCCTCCATCAAGGCATGGAAGCGAAAAAGCTCGCGGCTGACCTTTCGTCGCGCTTCAAAGAAGCAGAACAACGGTCTGCGCGATGTGCACACATCCCTGACCTGGGTACAACTCAATGACAAGCTTTCAGAACAGCTTGGACAGCCCGATCCGTACCTGAACGAGGATCTACCCCCAAGCGTCGTTCGTCCAGACGACCTCCATGGCACTTGGCATGTTTACATGGCAGTCAAGTTTTACGTCGGCCCAACAATCACCTCATGGTGGTCACACGCTTCAAAGTACGGCAGGGGAGGGGGCGGTGGCAGTGCAAGTAGCTGTGTGCAATGTGTGCATCAGTGTGAGTGCATGTTCAATGTGCGTGCGTGTGCGTGTGCGTGTGTATGTGTGCGTTTGCGCGCGTGTGCGCGTCAGGAGTGCGCGTCCACTCGTCCACTGTGTGTGTGTGTGGTGAATCGCCACTCGGATGCATGCACGCACTGCGCTGCGCTCACTGCTTGTTGTTCTTCTTGCGACAACCAGAGAGCTACTGTTTCATCAGCTCCGCCATGATGTCGCCTGCGGCCTCCTGGAGGTAGCGAACGCGTCCCCTGTAATTTTGTCCATCGTATCCGTATCGCATACGTGTCCAACCTGCTCTGTCTGTCTGTGTCTGTATGTCTGTGTATGTCTGTGTGTGTCTGTGTGTGTGTGCCTGTGTCTGTCTGTTCTCTCTGTCTTTCTTCCCTGTCTTTCTTTTCTCTCTTTCTTTCTCTTTCTTCTCTCCCTTTCTTCGCTCTCTCTCTCTTTCTCTTTCTTCTCTCTCTCTCTCTCAACCTGGAGGCACTCTCGACTAACTTGCACACGCGCACAATTTCAATTTCAGGTCCCCTTGGATGTTGGCGTCAAGTTGGGCGGGTACGCCATGCACGTGATTGAGGGTGACTTTGATCCGGGCAAACACAGCGGCCTGGACTATCTCTACGCCTACCATTTCCTCCCAAAGACCGACGATGACACGCTCAAGTTCGTGCCCAGAAACTGGGCATGTGCATGTGTGTGTGTGTGTGTTAAGGAACATGTGCATGTTCTGCTTAGCTGCACGTACACGCATCCTCGCACTCACAAATACACCCAGGCACATTCACCCACGCACTCACAAATACACTCACGCACACACACACGCACACACACACACACACACACACACATAACCCCACACCCCCCACACCCACACACATGCTTTCAACACCACCAGGGCCATTCAGCAAGAGCATCGCCAGTGCCGCGGCATGATCACTTCAGCCGACGCCCTCACGCAGTTCATTGACACATGTCAGCACCTCGAAGAATACGGCGTCCTCATGTTTCACGCTTTTCACAACAACACGGTCCGTCCCCTGGCAAGCACTTGTCCGAGTAATCGCCGTGGCATGAGAACAATATCAGTACACTGCTGCTGATTCATCATCCCGTGCGTCGTGAACCCACAAGATCAACACGTAATTGCGGCTCACACGCCTGTTGTTGGCACCCATCCACCAACCACCCTTGGTATTGTCACTTGGTCCAGCCGATTGTGGCTGGCGTGTCTCCAAAAGGCCTTTATGTCTACAAGGACAAGCGACGGCTGTACTCCCACCCATGGTACGGCACTCGATGTCTCGATGTTGCCTGCGGGCACCATGGCGCGCGTGCGCTGACGGGTTTGCTTTCGTTGTGTTTCGTGTGGTTCTTGTTGTGTGCTGCATTTGGCTGTCATTCCGTTGCCTTGGCACGAGATGGCGCACATTCACAGTGTCAACCCCCCCCCCCTTTTTTTGTTTGTTCTCACTGGCATGTGCGTGCGCAGGCACGCGTTGCGAAAGCTTGACTACTCTGGAAAAAAGCTGCACGTTGTGCTGTTGCAACGCGAGGTGCAATCAGCCACACACCCACACATTACCCTTGTCTTCTCCACCCAAGAGGCCTGCAAAGTAAGATACCGTCCACCTTGCAAGGTGTGCTGTGTACACGTGGTGGCGTGGAAACACCACGATGTGGTGTCCTTGGTGTGGAATGAACAACTACATGATGCCTTTTCCTTGGTTCTCGTGCTTCCCTCTCATTTGTGTTCGTTACATCATCGCTGCAGGCGTTTTGGAAGGCCGCCATTCATCACCACACCTTCTTCCACCGCAAGACGCCAAGCCTCAAGGTTAGCAAAGGATGGGTTGTACGTAGCGCCAGCTTCCGCGACGCACACGCATTTAAACAACTTATACACGTGCAAACATGCATGCATGCACACACACACACACACACAAACACAAACACACACATACACACATGCACACAAACACACATGCACACAAACACACACATGCACACAAACACACATGCACACAAACACACACACACACACATGCACACAAACACAGACTTACACACGCACCCGTTAACATATCTACCCATGCCTCTTCCACATGCGTCGATTTATGTGTGCACAGTCTCTTGCGGTTGGCTCTGAGTCCGCTGTGACACTGCACCAAGCCGTGCACTCCGCTCGAAGCAACAACAAGCTCCTTCTCAAGGCGGGACTCAGCAAAGAGTACGAGCATGACTGCCACACCACATTGCACACTTCTGCCTACGTTGGGCTGCATACGTTTCATGACACGTTCTGGTCCCTTTTTGTTTGGCGACGCTCATCATGCGTGTTGTCATGTCTTGTGCATGTGTGCGTATATGTGCATGTGTGTGCCGTGTGGTTGGCTACCCTGCTGCTGTTAGGACAATGCACCTGCCATCTGTGGGGCATTCGCAGCGCCCATCCCACGATGCATCCAAAGCTTCCCTCGCCTCCCTCATTGCAGGTACGCGTGACTGTGTTTGTGGTATATGTGGTGTGTGGTGTGCGTTTGTTTGTTGCTCTCTGAGCGAAGTCTCGTTTACTGGTGCGTTTTGTTTTTGGCGTGTCTTGGAGTGTTTGTCTTCCTTCACTCCGTTAGCATCGCGTTCCATGTCGTGCTAATCCTCGCCCCGCCCCATCCCCGCCTTTCCCTGCCCGCCCCTCTTGCAATAGGCGTGCAAGCCACGCCACGCCCAAGCAACGCAGACAAGCACAACACGTGGGTGCGGCGCGCCGTTATGATCGGCAGCAGTCCAGATGTCATTGGAGGTGCGTGGCGTGACACGCGGCCCTTTTGTGTTCACTGGAGGTTGCAATGTCGAGCGTTTTCAGTCTTTTCTTCCCTTGCTTATTTGCCTGCCTGCATGCACGCATGCATGCATGCATGAGTGGCTCTTGTCAACAGCCTGTTCATCAACGAGTCGCATCACCTCACCAAACGCACTGCCCCCCTGTGCTTCGTTCTTGTCTTGTCTTTTGTCGTGACCCAGGCCTGTCGGCCGAGCGCGGAGAAATTGTGGAGATCGTGGACTCGTCAGATCACGACTGGTGGCTCGTCAAAGCTGCACAGGATGTTGGAAGGTGAGAGGATGGCACGCACGCACACGCAGCAGGCAGCAAGCACGGAGGCTCGCGTTGAAGCATCCACAACAACAATTTGATCACATGTTGATGAACGAACGGTTTTGTTGGTATTTGTGTGTATTTGTGTGTGTTGTTAAACCACTCGTTGTTTGCACCCAACTGGGCTTTTCACTCACACGCTCCTCTCTATCATGACCGACCACGAACCCATGCCCTGCACACTCTCACATGCATGTCCTTTGACCACCATCAGGGTGCCTGCGCGCATGGTGCGTGAGTTTCGGTGCGAGCCGCACCACGTCGTTGAAGCGTTGTCGGACTTTGCCTCCGAGGAGCTTGCGTTCAACAAGGGCGATGTGCTGTTCATTCTCAAGGAGGTGAGGATTGGAGACTACAAGCATACATGACATGACAATTGTTCATGCACAACACAACTACACAAATACACAACTACACAACGCAACACAACATAAAATAACACATCACATCACATCACAACTCCACAACTCCACAACTCCACAACTCCACACCACAACCACAGCCACAACGAAAACAAAACCACACAACGCAACACAACATAACACATCACATCACAACTACACAACTACACAACTACACAACTCCACAACTACACAACAACACACCACAACACGTTTCTCGCGCTCACTGGCCATCTGCGTCTGGCGCAACATGTGGACAGCAACCGGACAAGCTCGTGGTGACAACGGGGACAGCACACGGCGAGGTGCCGGCCAAGGTCATCAACTTTGACTTTGCAAAGAGCAGATACTACGACGAAGAAGAAGAAGAAGAAGAAGAGGTGGTGGAAGGGGATATGGATGGCAGTGGCATCAGTTGGAAGAGAACAAGCCGCCGCAGTCCATCCATTCTTTGAGAAGGGAACAGCATGCGGAACTAGAACAAAATGACCACATTCCCGTGGTGGATCAGACCACCAGATGAGACGAGTGGGCTGTCTTTGTTTCCGCATGCCATTGTTGCGTCATAACGTTTGATCGTGAATCTGTTGCTGTCGTCGTCATTCACCGTTTGCGACTTCTTTGAGTTTCTCGTTGCTGAAGTTTAGCATTGGAAGCAACGTGGGCTGTGCTTCCTCTCTTTCCTCCGTCGTTGTTGCTGCTGTTCATTTATTTGCTCTTTGCTCATTTTGCCCGCACGCTCATACGCCCTCCATATTGTCGAAACTAGCTGTCAAACAAGTCAAAAACAGTCCCAACACCTCTGCAAGCAAGCGTAACCCGAATAACGAAGATGATAGACAAAGCTGGAGTGTAAAACAGAGTCAAGCCTTTACACATGGACACACACACACACACACGCACACAACACGACACTACACGACACAGAGCTGTGAGAAGACGCTGTATCCAAGGGGCGCGTCTGCAAACTGAATCGTCAGGTTGCGCAGGAGTTGCGGATGGGCCTGGCAGTGGCAGTGATGGCGAGCGCACAGAGGGGAACAGGATGCGTGAGAAACGAGACAGTTAACTTTCAGGCAATGAGCCGAAACAACTGGGACGAAAGAGCACACACACACACACACGCACACACACACACACACACACCTGTATGCTGTAGCGTTCCTCGTCGTCGTTTGTGAGGTACAGCAGCTCCCATGCCAACTCGGCCCACTGCCCGCGAATGGCCTGATGGGGCACAGAGCAGGGTGTGAATTTATGATGACCACTGACAAGGTTGCTGGCCGACACGAAACCAACCAGCAACAAAGTAACGGGGTGTCCACAGACACAGACACACAGACACACAGACACACAGACACACAGACACACACCTCTGGGTTGATGCTGGCCATTCGCATCTTGACTGATTGCGTCGTCAACAGGTGACTCGCAAACACATCTGTTGCACAACAAGGATATCACACACAAACAGCGTGAAGCAACGCGTGAAGCAACAAACTAAAATGAGCTGAGTTTGAACTGGCGGAAGCACGGGCCAACTAACCACCAGCGCTTCCCCCTCCCACACACAGTCAGTGCATCACAGCCACGATGCAGCACAACATAATCACACCTCTGCCCTCGCTTGATCGCGAAATGGAGAACAGTGACGTTCTTCCTTCTTCAACAGCATGGAACCACTCGTCCGTTTCAGGCCCTGTGCACAGACAGACAGACAGACAGACAGACACATACACACACACACACAGCCACGCACACAAATACACAAATGTATGCACAAGAGAAGAGTTTGGTGAGGATGGGTGATGCTCGGTGCTGTGTAGCCTGCGCCTTCACATCACGTCACGTCACTTGATTCCCACGTTTCGAATGCGAGGGAGGCAGCGGAGCGAGTAGAGCGTGCAACTCACCGATGTACCAGTTGGCGGCAAAGTCCCGCAGCGTCTGCAGCATGTCGTCCTCATCCTGCACACTGCTGTCCCCCAACACCTGCATGGCGAGATTGCACGCGTTTGTCAGCACACGCGAGCCTCACGTGCACACATACAGACACACACATACACACATATACATACACACACACACTGACACACACACACACACACACACAACACACACACACACACGCACAAACAAAGCATGTGAGCTCACCAAGAGATCCAGGGCTGCCTTGAACGAATAGCACAGGGCACGGTGTGCAACGCGTGTCGTGTCAGGATCGAAAGCAGCAAACGGATCACTGCCTTTCTTGCAAAACGCGTCCACCAGTCGCCCCACACTCCGGCCCTGTGTCGGTGTGGTGGGCGTCACCATTCATGAGGACAAGCCAGGCATGTGTGTGTGTGTGTGTGTGTGTGTGTGTGTGGAGAGGCTAGAAAGGTGGAGGCGAGTTTGATACATGCCCGAGAATTCTCATCGACGTTGAAGGGCTCATCTTTTGTTACCTGAGAGAAGAGGGCAGTGTGCAGTGCAGCCAGGAGCTTCTGCAAGTGCGCCTCTGACACGCGCGACGGGTGGTGCATATCCTTATCCGCAGCTGGTCCCAAACACGAAGAGGTGTGGCGACGCGCCAACATGAATGGTGTGTGAGAAATCGAGTCGATGTCAAGGGTGCCGCGTAAACGATGACGAACGTCGAGCGCACGTGATGGGGGACGTGCACAACGGCATTGAGTGTCACAGGCACACAGACACACACAGACACACAGACACACACACACACACACACACACACACAGACACAGACACACAGACACACACAAAAATAGCGGTGATGCTGATACCTTGCCAGGCGTGGCCGCGCGGTTCGCTGCTCTCTTTGAGGAGACGATCAACGAACGACGATGGCATGGCGGCAGCAGAAGAAGCAGCAGCAGGGGTGGTGGTGGCTGGGGCTGTAGGCAGCTGGGCCTGACGAACGCTGGATGCGTCCATCTCTGTCAGCGCGAGGAACGCAAACGCGTAGCGGAAGCAGTCTTGCAGCAAGTCCCACTGTATGCAGAGCAATACGGTCGGCGCAAGGGTTGTTGAGTGGAATGACTGGGCTTGGTGTCCGTGACAAAGGGAACAAGGATATTGCTTCTTGTCATCAACGACAGACAGACAGACAGACAGACAGACAGACACACACACGACACAAAGACACGTGCATGCTTACCGCGACTGGCTGGTCAATGAGACCCGTGAGGACGTTTCGCGTATCGCTGAATGTGGCCAGGTGTGCACTCAGTCGCGGCTCAAATGCATTCACAACATGCTGTTGGCAGGGCGTGGGTGAGCATGTGCGTGTGAGAGCGCGTATGTACATGTGTGTGTGTGTGTTTGCAGTCGTTGGAGGTACTTGTCTGAGCTGCGCATGTGAGACTGTGGTGCAATCCACAGCGCAAACATGCCACAACGATCACTCCCAGCCACCAAAAACAGCATTAATAACAGCAGCAACAGCAACAGCAACAGCAGTAGTAGCCTCGCACCTTGTTGATGGTAAACGGGCTGAGACTGCCGCGTTCTG